CACACACACACACACACACACACACACACACACACACACACACACACCCTCTGCCTGTCTCTCCACCCAGAGGACTCATTACCCGTGTCAGAGTACCTGTATGTAGGGTTATGGCAAAGCAGAATGGAGGAGGGTGGGAGCGAGGCCTGGCCATTGCCGGGTGGGACTGCTGTTGGCATTGCCAGGGAGAGCCAGGGTACACAAATGACAGGGAGAGAGGCCCAGATGAGGGCTTCTAAGGCCTTGCTGGGCTCAGGCTCATGCTGGGCCTGAGTAGCTGGGCAGACAGAGCTTTTTTTCTTTTCTTAACAGAAACAAAAGGATGAAATCATTAGTGTCAATTGGGCACATTCAGCGTAGAATACTGACGTACCATTGTTGTGAGGATAAAAGAAATATAATTAATAAAACCCACCCAGACTGCCTTTTGTGCTTCCTTTGAATACTTTATTGGCTTCTGCATCTATCTCATCCACAGACGAGCCATCTCTTTCCACTGCCCTGGACATTGCTAAAATGAACTGTGTAGAAAATCACCCCCGGGATCTGGAAACTCATCTTGTTCAGTTATAATTTGTCTTCTCATGCCTCAGTTTTCCCCATTACAGAGGCAAATTTAGAGCATTTTCCAGTTGCATAGAGCAGAGTTCCATTCAAGAAAGAACAAAGCCCACCCCAAGGCTGAGGTTTCTGAGGGAGGCCTAAGGTCCCTCCCACTCAAGGCCATGTTCAAGCCACCTGGCAGAGCCAGTAACTTTTCAGGCATCAGCCTTTGGTTGGGGGTCCGTTTTCTGACAGCAGCCCTGGAATCACACCTGCCCCACCTCTGGCCTTGACATGCCCTAGCTGGGGGTCAAAGGTCACACTGAGAGTCACCGGGAGGCCTGGAGGCCCAGGGAGAGGTGAGGCAACTCTCAGCCCCTGACAGGCTTCCAGCTACCTGCTTGCCAGGCTGACGTCTGCCCTGCACACTGTTGCCCTCCTGACATCTAGAGAAATGAAACTCCTTTGCATGACAGGAAGTGGGGGGGGGGTCCCTAAAGTATGACTGCAAACCTGAAACACCCCAAACTCATGTCTTATCACCACCTGGAAGACTAGAGTCTGAACAGAAACAGAAAGCAACTCAGCCCCTGAGAGGCATGTGCTTGTGGCCACACCGCCTTCTGGGTGGGTAAGGAACCGGAGGCCCAGAGCAGGCAAGTGATGAACTGAAAGCCCCACAGGCCTTGGGGTGAGAGCCAGCTGAGACTCTCCCATACATCCAGGAGTCTGAAACTCAGCTGCCTGTGGGAGCCAGGCAGGTAAAGAACATGCCTTTGGACACCAAGACACTTTGTCCTGAATATTAAACATGTTCAAATACTCTGCGCTTGCAGGAAGAAATATGCTCTCTCTGCCACTTTTCTTGAGACGTTCCACTTTCTTGATCTATACTGTTTTCTTGCTTTTGATGGGGTCACAGGTCACCAAGTGAAGATCAACAGCAGTGGGCCCTGCAAGGCAGCAGGGAATGGTGGGGATTCTGGTTCTCTGCAGACTGACCGTGCTGCCCAGAGCTGGGGAGCCATATCTGTATGTGAGCTTTCCCAAGTTTCAAACGTTGACTCAAATGTTTTAAAACCCCATTTACAGCCCAAACACAATAAAGCCCCCATGCCAGCACAGGACCTACAGCCCTGAGGTTCAGCCTCTAACCTCTGTCCTGTCTGTTGCAGGGACCCTCACAGCTTCGGTTGGGGAAGGATGGAGGACACAGAACTCCAGGGGAATCGCTTCTGACCAAGTCTTTACCTCACACAGATTGTTCGCTGCTTGTCTCTAACAAGAGATAACTTGGTTAGGTGCTTAGCAAGAGAGACACAGAGAAATTTCTGGATGATTCAGGCTGTGACTGCTGGAATATATTAACTTTTTATTTTTTTATTTTTTCTGTTAAGAAGGGCACTGCTAGGCTGGTTCATCACAGTCCTGGGGAATGGATGGGTCTGTCTAGCTCTCTGATGATGCATTGGTGCCTGGGCACTTGCTTGTATATCATCCCACCCTTGCAACGTTCCCAAAGACTCTTTCCTATTAATATCTTGGTTTTCAATCTTAATGTTGGTCTTTTGCAAGTAGAAGGTAGCCTATGGGGACTTCCCTGGTGGTGCAGTGGTTAAGAATCCGCCTGCCAACGCAGGAGACACGGGTTCGAGCCCTGGTCCGGGAAGATCGCACATGCCACGGAGCAACTAAGCCTGTGCACCACGACTACTGAGCTCGCGTGCCACAATTACTGAAGCCCGTGCACCTAGAGCCTGTGCTCCTCAATAAGAGAAGCCACCGCAGTGAGAAGCCTGTGGACCACAACAAAGAGTAGTTCCCACTCGACACACACGGCAAAGAAGACACAACGCAGCCAAATATAAATAAATAAATGAAAGAAAGAAAGAAGAAAAAAAGAAAGAAAAGAAAAGAAAAAAAGGAAGAAAGAAAGAAGATAGCCTATGTTCTTCTGGGCATGGAAAAGAAGAAACTTAATGAAAGTGATTATACATGTAAGGATCAATCCATCTACACATGGAGAAAATGTTTAATGTGCCAGGCCCTGAAATTATGTGCTAAGTAATGAAATCAATTGGCAGGCCACCACTGAAAAATAAAAATAAAAAAGGAGCAAGTTTGTATGTGTATGTGCATTTTAAACTACTTAGAGATGATACAGTTGAATGAAACAACCCTGTAGAAAAACAGCAAACGTTTTCATTTATTTATATGCTAGTGTATGAACAGAAAACATTCTGGGATTTTCACTTTTTATGTTGTACGTGTTTGTACTATTCTAACTTATTATAACAAACATGCTCCACTTTTGTAATCATAGAAAAACCAATAAAGTTAAATAATAGCAATTTTAATGGGAAGAAAAGATAGCATTACCAAGTGCAGATGTGGGAAGACAGGAACTCTCACACTCCCCACCTGGGAATATAAATTGGCACAATTTGGGGGAGTAACTGACCACATCTAGCAAAATTACAAAAGCACATGCCCTTTGACATGGCAATACCACATCTAGGAATGTGCCCTAAGGAATTAACACACGTGACACACGTGTGCACAAGATGTTGACTACAGCACTGTCTATGATGGTGAAAAAATTGGAAACCTATATGGATCAGCATGGGAGAGAATGTATACGTTATGGTATATTCGCTCAAGAGAAAACTCTATCACAGTTAAAAATGAATAAACCCAACCCTACATGTGTCAATGTGGGTAAATCTTGAAACTAATGTTGAAAAAAATAGCAAGTGGTATTATGATGTGTGAGGCTTGGTTCCATTTATGTGAATTTTAAAAACACCCAAAGCAATGTTTTCTGTAAATCTATTGCTTGTGAATCCAACTATAAATGATAAAATTCCCAAAATATGTGTGGAAATAATCCATACTGACCTCGGGGTGGTGGTTTGCTCTGAGGAGGAGAGAAAAACTATGGGATTAGGGAGGGTTACCAGGGGGCATCGAGTGTCTGTGTGAGAAGTCAGGGAGGGCAAAAGTTTTCTGAGAGAAGGTGGGGTCAGCAGTGCTAACTGTGGCAAAGATGCCCCGTGAGATGAAGGTTAAAGGGTGCCACATGGCCATCATGGGTGGCCTCGGCAAGGGTAGTGTGTGGTGCGTGGGGACAGAAGCCCCACTGGAGGAGCCTGAGGGAGGAGGGACAGCAGGTGGACATGATACTTTCAAGGAGGCTGTCCAGGAAGGGCAGGAGAGAGATGGAGCTGAAGTCTGGGGAGGGCCAGGGGCAGACCTCGGGGGAGGAGCCTAGGGAGGCTAAGGGCACCTCAGAGCAAGTGCCACGTGTTCTTGGAGTCCCCATTGCAGGGCTTCTCCCCTCCAGGGCCTCAGTCTGACAGCCTACCTTGGTATCACCAGCAGCATCAGCGGCAATAATAGCAGCGGCAACCATCTTGTATTGTTTCTTTTTAATGTGCTAGGTGCTATGCTAAGCATTTTTTATGCATTCTCCCATTGAATCTCCCTCTTAACTTCATGGGGCAAATACTGTTATCATCCCCATTTCACAGCTGAGAATTACTAGGCTTGGAGAAGTTAAGCATGGTGCCCAAAATCACATTGTGAAGTGGCAGGGCCAGGTCCCAGCTCCAGGTAACTGCCTCCAGAGCTCAACGAAGAAATGACATCAGTGTGGGCCCCAGACAGGGTCCATCTCCTGCAGGAGGTGAGGTTCCAGCTGGCTGAGGATGCAGAGGTGCAAGGCCCGAGATCACTGTGGCCTGGGAGTGATGCGTGGCAGTCCCTCAAGCAAGGCCATTTGGAAGTTACTTTCATTGATGCCCCTTCGTCTTCCTTCGTGCCCCTCGCGGCCTGCACGGTCACTTTTCTGTGGCACAGAAGCATGACTCTGGGCTTGTTTCCTCAACCTCTGTGCCCACATGTCGCTTTGAGCTCTCACTCTCCTCTTATACCCCAGCTCTGCTGCCAGGGATATCAGGCCCGTCTTGAGCTTGACGTGCAAAAGCCCTTTGTGATGTAGGCTTTGTCACCTCTTCTGCCTCGCCTCCCTCCTTCCACTCCACTTTTCCAGGCCTGCTGGGGAGGACTCAACAGCCTCCCTCTCAAGCACAGGTACGGCTCCCACTCCATGCTCACCTTTCACACCGCTGCCCTCTGGAGGATTCCAGCTGTTCTTCTGTCTCCCAGGCTCTCATGAGCTCTCCGTGGTCTGTGCCCTGCATGCTTTTGTCTCCAGGGCTGGTAGCGCCAACACACAGCAGGGGCTCCCAGGAGAGGCCAGGTCACACATCATGCCAGGGACACCAGCATCAGACATGAACCTCACCACAGTCAGATGCTACACAATTTTTGGAATTGGCATTGATCAGTAAAATGATTTAAAAGGGGGGCAGAGGGAGTGTTTATTGAATAAAGGAGAGCATTGCCCTCCTGTCTGAGGCTCCTGGGAAATAGTACCTGTTAGCCTGTGAAGCTGAGCACATTAGAGTCTTCTGAGTTAAATTTGGAATTGGGATGAGGTAGGAAAAATCTATGCTCATTGAATACAAAATGCAATTGTCTGTCAGTGCAAGAACTAAAGAATCTGCCACAAATTATATTTAAGACTCTATTGTCACAGGCAGATTAGCTCATGCTTGATTTTAAGTATAGGCTTCTAATGCTATTACTCCTGGTTAGCTCTGCCTGGCAGGTAACCTTGTGGAACAAATGACTGCATTGCTTGAATAACATATTTGATCAAACAGGACAATTCTTTCAAAAATTGAGTTCTCTGTGGCAATTTGAGACCTGTAATCAGCAAATTAGATGATTACAGCAGGGATAAAAATAGTCTTCTAACAATGTCCAAGGTATAATTGTGATTTGAATTTCAAAATGCTGAACATGTGGTAGGAAAATGCACGGTTGGGTAAATATGACTAGACGTTATCAGATTTGATTTCTCTTTCCATCCCTGCTCTGAGGTACAGCCTAATTTTGCCCAAATAAACTCCAATCTCCTTTGTGTCTGAGTTGGAGAAGTGTAGCCTCACACTAAGCTCCAAATCTTAAAGGACCTCACAGTTTTGCTTACCGGCCTCAGGAACGTGAACCTCAGCATCATTTATTCACCCACTGGTATGAAATGACCTCCGTGAAACAACGAGCTGTCCAAGTTCCATATGGGGGACCTCGGAAAACCTTCAACACCCACCACCTGAAGACCAGTTTTCTTTCTTGGGCACGGGGGACAGAGACCTGACAGCAGCTCTGATGAGGGCCAGTGAGTGAATTCTGTGAGCTGGGGTGGGATGTGAGGGTGTGGTGTGCTCTACCACAATCCAATCAGTCTTCATGGTTGCTTTTGAT